GTCTGCTTCCCTTAAGCAATCGTCTGGAAGGAATGAAAATGTGTTTCCTCAAGACGCCCAAGGTAGTCATGTACCAGGAAGTAGCTGCCGGACATAGAAAAAGTATATAATAAAGCGACTGGTAGAATTGTCTACTGCAGTCTTGTATGTCCTTGTGTGTGTGTGTCTGTGTGTTTCTTTTTGTGTCCATCCCCCGTTCTGCGCGACACATGGTCCTAAACAAGGACAGCATAGAGGGAGTAACTGATAGGGGCTTTTTAATTGCTTGGATGGTGGGAATGACTAAGGAGGAGAGACGTAGTTAAGGTACTCAAGCTGAGTGATCAGATGGATGTTATGGTATGAAAAAAAAATTGCAAATCAAGAGGAGCAGATTTATGAGATGAAGCTAGTAAGTATGAGAGGCCTACTAAAAATCCAGTTGGCAGCAGTAGACAGTATACTACTACTAATGTATGTAACAGGTACTAAATGAGTATCTGGTGAATGATTTAACAGGAAAAAATTTACTAAGTTGATTTATTCCTAAGGCTCTGTTGTGCAAGGTTTTTTCACTGATTCTAAATCATACCTTAGAAGGAGGTGGTGCAGGCTTAGGAACCAGGTTCTTATAGACACTTGGAACTATGGATGATGATTTGTTCCCATTAGCATGGTGAGATCCTGGTGAGGTGAATGCAGCAGAGAAGGCAGCAGCAGGATCCTCTTTGGATACTTTTTTGATAACTAGCATTTTGGAGGGTTGCTTGGCACTAGGTGGGTTTTCTGTGAAATAAAACAGTAAAGAGACAAAAGAATGTCAAGCCTGTTGTGTAACATGAAGTATATGTTTATACTTTGGCCTCACCTTCAACAAACAGCTGACAGTTGAGACAGGCCCAAGCATTTCTTGGAGTGCACTTAACAGGTACTGTCAAAAGTGAGACTACCAGGGAATTGCAGGAAAAAAGGCTGCATATGAAGCACTTGATACTAAATTCATAAATCAGCTGGAAAGCCCAAAGATGTTAGCAATTCTTTAAGAGCACAACATGTCTAATGTATAGTGTGGTCAGGCATGAACCAAACAAGAATATATTGAAGGGCAGCAGCTCCTGTCAGCATGGGAATGGAAAGACATGAGGTAATTAGGGAAAGGAGTCTGTCATGGGACCCTCTGAGGAAGCAAACTTGAGCAAAGCTATACACCATTAACAAAGAGAAAGGACGTTGGTACTTTAAGACGGGAGTCTGCCAACCTCCTCATTTGCTGGCGAATTTATAAACTTCTTTTTCCTTCTCCTCAGACCACTTGTCCTCATTCTTCTGACAAGACCTCGAGGACAAGTGCTGAGCTTTCAGTAACACGTATAGCACAAACGTGTATTGTGTGTACATATAAAACAATGTATCATAATCAAGTAAAGTTTCTCTCATGAATGCAAGGATGGGTCAACATAAAAGTTTCAATGAAATTTACATTAACAGGTTTAAAAAAAGAAGAACTCGGCCGGGTGCGGTGGCTCATGCCTGCAATCCTAGCTCTCTGGGAGGCCGAGGCAGGCGGATTGTTTGAGCTCAGGAGTTCAAAACCGGCCTGAGAAAGAGCGAGACCCCGTCTCTACTAAAAATAGAAAGAAATTAATTGGACAACTAAAAAAAATAGATAGAAAAAATTAGCCGGGCATGGTGGCACATGCCTGTAGTCCCAGCTACTCGGAAGGCTGAGGCAGGAGGATCGATTGAGCCCAGGAGTTTGAGGTTGCTGTGAGCTGGGCTGACGCCACGACACTCTAGCCCGGGCAACACAGTGAGACTCTGTCCTCAAAAAAAAAAAAAAAAAAACCTAATTGTATATAGGGGGCATGAGCATAACACTGCTGTCTAAACCCAAACTTTACAATCTGAGAACAAGGTGGGGGAAAAAAAGGCTTTTTAGTACAACTGCCCGTGGAACATCAAACAATACAAAGACACCCAGACTATACTACAGAGCCTCTGAATCAGAATCTTTAGGGGCAGGGCCTCAGAAGGTTATATATTGTCAACTAGTCAAGGTAAGAACCACTATAATAGAAGAACATGCACAAACCAAGCCACTAACTCACTGTATAAACAGACAAATCAGTGGCAGAATATGAAGGAACAATACATACATTCCTCTAGATGGAATAGTATAGGCAGGAGGCGCTCTTACGGATAAAAGCTGTGGCTGTTTTCTTGTTTTATTTTGGCATGTGCTCTTAGTCTCATTCTATCTACAGTTCTCAAGAGATACGCCTCTATTTATGCAGCATCTCTGATCTCTTTCAACTAACTGAGCATTAAAAATGTAGTTTTAAAACTTTTTAAAATCTCTCCCTCCCTTCTAAAAATAACCACTATCCTGACTTACGATGATCAGCACATTGCTTTTCTTTTACTATCGAAGTGTGTATAACTCAACGCTACAGTTTTACATCCAAGAAACATCTCGTAACTTTTAATTTACTAGTTTTTTAAAAAAAAACGCATACCTCTGTATTTCCTACAAACTGATAGTTGCTTCAAGAGGTTAAGTTCTAGAGGTTATAGTATAGGATCCTTTCTTTAAATTATGGCAAGGCAATGACTTGGTGGTTTTGTGTTCTACCGTTAAGAGACACATGACATTTGGTTGTGCATCTTTTTGTGATGTTGGCAGACACTGATACTCATAGCCTAAAACTGTTGACTCAACATAAGATGCAAAGCAATGATCTTCTAATTTTATAATTCCTTCTTTATAAGCTAGCATACTTCCCTAAAAAGGAACTTCCAGTCATCTATTATTTGGTGATTCAGTGATACAGCTCATAGGGAAAAGACAGGTTACATGCTTGTTCCTAAGATGAGGCAGTTAACATTGTGAACTCAAGGACCTCATCATATTTGATGTGATTCAAACGCTTGCAGTTATTATCTTTAATTGATGCATGAAACTGTCCCATGTTTTGGCCTATGGAACCCTCTTCAATTTGGTTTCTAAATCCTTTTGATACAATCCTAGTAGTCTTTAATTGCTTCTTTGTTATCTAGTATGAGAAAAATACTCCAAGCTTTTCTTATAAAAATCCTGTCCAGATACAGTATTTCAAGACCACAATGTGGCACTAGGGCTGCTCATCGCTATGATGTTGTTCCTTAGACAGAGCCTAGAAATATTTTTTCCCCTACTTCATAACCTCTTATTGATATTTCCAATTCAAACTGAGTACCTTGGGGTTTTAACTGAACATCTTTATTTCCTTTCATCTACACAGAATCCTGATTCTCAAGGACACAAAGGATAGAATAAATAATCCCATTCAATCACTTTATCCCATATTACACACCAGTTTCAGAATAGCAATAGTTATTTCACAAATTACTAAAATACTGTTTTGACAGGTTCTCCCTATCTTCCCACTAAATAGTTATACCATATCTAGATTGTAAGACCACATAGCTATTACACATTATACTCTCTTATTAACTCTCATTTAGTCTTAGTTCTACAATTAATCACGTATTTATTATTTAACACCATTCCTTTTGTTATGTTTCTGGTTAGTTTGTCAGAAGCTTGTTCTATAGTAGTTCTTAGGAAAAGTCTTGGGAACAATATTTTGAGTTCTTATACGTTGATGTTTGTCATGACCTTTATAACTGAAGATAAGCTTGACAGAGTATAAAATCTTTGGCTCACATTTTCTTTCCTTGAGTACTGTAATTATTATTTCATTTACTTCTGTTATAAATCTTTCCTGTTATAGTCTGGTTTTCTTTCTTTTAACAAGTGAATATGTCCAAAGGACACTTTCTTTTTTTTTTTTTGAGATCAGGTCTCACTCTGTCGCCTGGACTACAGTACAGCGGCATCATCATAGCTCACTGCAACCTCAAACTCCTGGGCTCAAGCGATCCTCCTGGCTCAGCCTCCTAAGTACCTAGGACTACAAGCACACGTGTCACCATGCCTGGCTGCATTTCTCTTTTATGTTCAAGCCTAGTATTTTATAAGACTACATCTTGGCTGTTCAAACTATTGCTGTCCTTTCAATTTATAAATTCAAATCTTATTGTATGTCACAAAAAGTTTCTTAAATTATAATTTTCAATATTTAAGCCATTCCTTTTTTTTTTTTTAATAGAAAAGGCAAATGAGCCATTTCCTTTGTTTTGGGTTTCTTTTGGGGGAGGATCCTATTACACATACACACTAGATCTTTTTTGCCTAACTTCTATGTCATTTTCCCTCACTTTTACCTTTTATCAATAGTTGTCCTTCAAATGAAATATGTTTTCCTTTCCTGTCTTCTAATTCTTGAAAAATGTTAGTGTTTACTCTTGTGTTCCTTCTTGTTTAGTCTTCATTTTTCTGAAATCTTTGATTACTACTTCTTTTTAGAGTTCTAGAACCATATTTTGAGTTTTTCTGGATTATGGGTTGTTTTTTTTTTTTTTTTACCATCTTCTTAATATCATTAAGATTTAACACAGTATGTTATAGTTCTTACCTGTTCTAGGGACATGTATACAGGTGTACTTTGCTTTGTCTGTTGAGATATTCATCTGCTCCTTATTCTTTTTCCTTATAAGGTAGAAAGTAATTTGACCTTTTGTTGTTGGTTTGTATGTGATATTTTTGGAAATGTGGCTCATTGTTTACACAGAGTGTTGAAAAATACAGCAGCTTACTTCTTTAACATCCTCATTGCTTTCCACCACCCTCCCCACCCAATCCCCACTTTTTTTGGAGATAGGGTCTCACTGTTGCTCAGGCTAGAGTGCAGTGGCATCATCACCAGCTCCACTGCAATCTCAAACTCCTAGACTTAGCAATCCTCCCACCTCAGCCTCTGGAGTAGCTTGGACTAGCCACTATATCCTAACTTTTTTTTTCTTTGGTAGAGATGGGGTGTTGCTACATTGACCAGGCTGGTCTCAAACTCCTGGGTTCAAGTGATCCTCTCATTTCAGTCTCCCCTCCAAAAATAAGCTGGGGCTCTGTAGTCAATTTACTGAGTTAAAAACTCCCCACTATCATTTTCTGTGTGACCCTGGGAAAGTTTTAATGTCGTTAAACCTTACTTTTCTCACCTGTAAAACGTGAATATTAATAATTCACTGATATAATCTATGTTGCTCATTTAGCACAATACCTAGTGTTTTTTTTTTTTCCCCCTCCTTTTTTTTTGTAGAGACAGGGTCTTGCTATGTTGCCCAGGTTGTTCTTGAACTCCTGGCCTCAAGCAATCCTCCTGTCTCGGCCTCCCAAAGTGCCAGGATTACAGGCATGAGCCGCCACGCCTGGCCTCCTTTTACCTCAACCTTCCTTTTGTCTCTGTCTCCTTGCAGCTCAATCTGCATTATATTTCCAACAGTTTGTTCTCAGTGAGAGGCTTTGTTCTGGAAGAGAATATTGGCTGCTTAGTATGAACAATGAGAGAACCCTGTGCTGGTTATTAATTTATTGCTTCTTGTTACAAAGTTATCCTTTCTGCCTTCTCTGTGTAAATGTATCTGGGCACTTTAAATTTTTTCCTCTGACAGCTGGCATGTTAACTTTTGTCGTTGGAGAGCAATGGAAAAAACTTTGCTTCCTGTTTCAGTGTGCTTACTCAGAAGGCTCCTGCAGCACCCAGTTCCTCAAAGCCAGGTTATGAAGTGCAAGTAAGCTCTGAGGCCAGCAGCTTCCCTCAGGACCCCATGCGAGTAGTTTTGTAGCAGAACGACACTTCTCATGAACAGCTTTCCAGCATGTTCCCCCTATAAGAAGCACCTCAGCAATTCAGTAAGCCATAGCCATTCAGTGAGCTACTTTCTAACAAGACATTGATCTTAGCCCTGGGTTGGTGGTTAGAGTATGGGTGACTTACCCTTGGGCATCCTTTACCTTAGCCCTAAGAGTAGTGGCTACTCTTTATATGTGCTATTTCTATATTCTTTAAGGTTCTCTTTGCTTATTATCGAATCTTTCATTACCCCAATCCTGCTATAGCTAGCAATTCTTTTTATTAACTTTCTCTATTCAAACTACTATGTGGTTTGAGCTCCTGACTGGTCCAGACACATCCTTCACATCTTATTCCAGAATGCCCGTATCTACCAGTTACTGCATTATGGAAAACCACTCCCAATTTATAGTCGCTCTTCTCAAATATGCCCTCCAATCCTTCCAGAAAATCTGTTGGCTCTGTTGGCATTCTTCAGACTGTCAGGTACCCTTGTTGCTTCCCTTCAACTCCCCCTGCATAAATGCTAATATTACACCCAGGCCTCTCAGATTTTGGTGGTTTGTCCCTATTGCCTTTAGTGCTTTGCTGGGAAATCTCACTTTGCTTTGACATAGATGGTATCTGTGGACTTTTCTGGTTCCTCAATTCTACTTACTTTGTCTTAAATTCATTTTGGTTTCATAAACATCATATATCTGTAGCCTGAAGGTAATCTTTTACAATATTTTAAATAATTTTATGCATGAAACAGTTTAGACTGTGACCCATTACATAAGTTCAAGTGTGAAATTTTCCAATTGTGGTTATGTTGGCACTCAAAAGTTAACATTTTACCACTGTTGCTTCATTATTCTCTCCAAGTATCTTTTTCCTAAACCATGTGAAAGTTACAGGACTCGATGCTATTTACCCTTAAATATTTCATTATATTATTTC